GTGGTTTGGAACGTTGATGAGGGTGGAATGGAAAACTTACCAGAATGAACACATGAACCATTAACCGCAGTGGTTTTGCCGGGTTGCCGGCACAACTAATGCCAGGTATCCTGTTATCCGGACCCCGACAAAATCACTATCTGGTGCATCTCTGGTATATGAATTAACAAGGGATTTAACGGGAGAATACTCTCCTTTAAATAAATCCCAAATTTTTAAAATTTACAAACTTGTACTTTCGTAAACTTCGTTCTGTAAGGTGTCTTTTGTTGTTTATATTTATCTCCTTTTATTTGTGTGCAAAATATTAATAAAACAGTTCTATCTTTTAAATAATGTTCTCAGACAACGGTTTTCTATTCTTAGACAAACAATGACAATGAGAGCTAATCTCTGCGCTCATCGTTGAGAATGTGCTAATATTCCACGCAATTGTTCGTGAGAGAAATCCTCCAGGGATATGTTCTTACGTTTCGCTTCTTACTGTTTAAAAGATAATACCGGTACAATTTCATTTGTAATAACTTTTCTGCTGAAAATTATACATCTACTTCTTCTAACTTCTATTAGCGTATGTAATTCGCTAGATCTGAAGAATTATTATTTTGTTATTTTTATTTTTCTTTTTTAATCTTTTGTTCGTATAAAAGAAACGTTAAGGATTTCGTCAGGCTTTAGGGGATGAAAAATTGTATACTCCGCTTTTCCTCCCAATTTTAATGCTTGATTAATTTTTTAGTAATTTAGTTGAAATTGTGTCCTCGTATGAGAGACATAATATAAGAAAATCAAATAAAGACAGCAAGTAAAAGTTGGTCTGTGTTCTGTCGGAGCTGTCTGCGACGCGCTGATGAGATCCAAAAAGATCGAAACCGCGATCCGCGTTTGGCAGTTTCGGCAGAATACAGATCACTTCGTATTATTTTATTCGATTAAGCTAACGTGCCTATCACGTTGAGGTTGGCTACGCCGGGATTCGTTTTCAGCAAGTAGATATCCACACAAGTGGACCTTGTTGGAGCATACGTAATCCTAAAATGTAGCATCGTGCTACAGATGGCGTTTACTGCGCCATTTGTAGTATTTTCTAAAACGCACTGTTAAGACAGCAGGTAAAAGTTGGTCTGTGTTCTGTCGGAGCTGCCTGCGATGCGCTGATGAGATCCAAAAAGGTCGAAATCGCGATCCGCGTCTGGCAGTTTCGACACAATACAGACCACTTCAATTTATTTTATTAAAAAGGAGTTCTATGGAACTGAATTAAATAGCCCAAAATTCCACATAAAAGCGTCCAAATTTCTTTCGCCATCTCATTGTCAGTCTCTAATTGCAGGATGACATCTTAGAAGAAAAACAACTCTTATATTCAAAACGATCTATAAGCTAATTAATTAATTATTTTTCTAAAAGGTCCACGTAGCAAGGCAAACATAATTAATCTGTTTCAGAAACTTTATTTAGCGAAATGTGATACCTTGATAAATGAGAAAGCCAATACGGCAGGTTGTCTTCTACTGTCAGTGGTTTTACGAATGACAGCAAACTGCAAATTGAAATATATTTAGATTATCCTTTATCCTCAAGTTAATTACTTATAGCGATTTCCTTCAGCACTCTCATACAACATCCTGTAAAAACTTTCCAAAGTGGATATTAGATGGAAGAGTAAATAATCGGAATTGAAAAGGGATGGTAAGACAAACAAAACAACAATTAAAGTTTAAACGAATCCTATCTTTTACTGTCACACAAAAATTAGGCGTAAAAAGGTCGTTTTAATGTGGGCTTAGTAGGTCATAAATTGTTCGCAAGAATTTTTGATCCATGATTGTGGATTGTTGTGCTGTGTGTGTATTTTCTGCTCATACGGAACCTGTACAGGTGAACAATAAATATTTAACGATAAATTGGTTGAAGAAATCAAAAGATTATTCCATAAAGATAGAAATGGGGATAACATACCTAAGGTTGAGTAGCCATCAGCATGGTTTGGTCCAAATTGAAAAATAAAGTCGAGAAAAACCACAAAAAACAATCTTTAGTATCTATCAGAACTTTGGTCCAAATGGACGTTCGTAAGAATTTCTGTTCCTTCAAATAATGATTAAGTTTTATTGGTTTTTTCGATCCCTTCATATTTGTTTTTTTCTGGTTTTTATTTGTGGAATTTTCCCGACTTTATTTTTCAATTTGGGTAGAACCATTCTGTCGGCTACCCAACCTTTTTTAGGTATATTACCCTGAATTAACCTACTTAACGTTTGGAAGAATTATCAATCTAAACCTTGGGTAGCAAGCCCTAAAATCTCCAACGACCACTTTGACAATTGACCTTCAGGCAATTGTAATAAAGGTATTTTTAAAACCCAATTTCAACACGAAGAAGTCAAATCATCTATGTATACCTAAAGCTAATCATAAATAAATTTCATTTTTGATCCCTTTGAATTCTAAATCGTTTTAGTAATAGCTTCAGTTTCCATTACAGAAATTCCGCATTGCTACTGACATTATAAGATTACATGCTTCGCATGAATATTAATTAAATTTATGCTTTGTTTATGTAGAAACAAACCAAAATATCGTTTTTTTTTTCTTTTGCAAACGAAATGTTGTGTGTTTTGGCAAACGTGCAATTTATGGCGCCGCGCCGCACCGTGTTGAGAGGATAATGCAATGGTGATGATATAACCTGGCAGACAATTTGTTTTTGATTACCTCCGAAGATGATTTAGTACATTTTATTTCACTTTCATTTACACTGGCCTTAGGAGGGGTGCGGCACTGCTTAGGGACCCCATAGCGCTAAGGATTTTTCGTAAGAAATTAAAAGTTTAGAAAACGCTACCCTTCAAGGGGTGGCTACATAAGATCCGCGCCATACGCTTAATAAGGCACTGCTTTCATTATTTTTCAATTAGATATGGTACGATTTGGTCCTGGTGGAACGCAAATTATACTAATGGTTGACATAACAAATTATGTCGTGAATAAATATGTATATTGTACATTAGTTTTCGTCACTAACTTCGTTATTAAGATCTGATAATTGCATTTATATTTTGCATGTCGCCGCAAAAGAAACCCGTTAATAAATTGTTGACACTTACTGAATTTGTCAGCTGAGAGTTTATTGTGAAAGTATTAAGAAGTAGAACGTCTAATGAAGCTAGTTTTTTAAAATTGCCTGTACAAATCTAGTTCTGTCGTCAAAGAAGACAAAAATAGTTAAACACTATACCCTACAATAAGCTGTAAGCGCTATAAACCTAGGATTCCCAAGGAGAAACCCTGTGGAAACTTTTATTGTCTAATGTTTCTCCTTGTTACAATTCGTAGAAGATTTTGGGTAAACTTCTTGTTTCCACTCAAGACACTAAACTGGTCAATAGTCGCAAGAGGTTCTTGAGAGCGCCACTTAGATTAGTGCTTCAACTGTGAACAATACCTAAACGGGAACATGGAAGTAACATTAGCATCCAGAAAAAGAAAATGAAAATGGAAGAAATATTGGGTGAAGCCGAAGCTTCAAGAACGGCACAGCACAATTAATATGTTGATTTACTTTTATTAAAATGACATAAAATAAATAATAGCATAGGGTTGAGTTCTTCTAACAATTACAAGTCATTCTGTGCCTGCAACCTGTAATTTATATAAATTGAAAAACAAATTAAAAATGTTTGAGTCACTGCTTTGTACAAGTGCGAAACGTAAGCAGTGGGCACGGTAGAATCAAAAATTGAAAGCGTTTGATTTGGTGTTATAGGAGAATGATAAAAATACCGTGGACAAAAAAAGGTTACAAATGCCTGAGTTATTGAAAAGAATAACAGAACAAAGAGCGTTGCATATGGAAGTCAATAAGAAGTAGAAACAGGAGTAGAAAGGGGTTGAGAATGACCAAGAAAACAATTAAGGGTGTGAGATGCTGTAGAAATGCGAAGATTGTCTCCTTATAGAATCGTTGATATTGATTATTGTTTCCAGAACTATTTAAGTAGAAGTATGTACATACGTGTGTAGCCCAAAAAGTAATTTCATAAAGCAAACGAAATGAAAACTAAATGACATAACAAAGTTTAACAAATCTTTGTTTAACAATTTTGGGCATTTACCTATTTACCACAGATAACATAAGTACATATTTATATAGTTTGGAGATCAAAAATCTTCTATTTTTAAATTTTTACTGAGTTAGGTAAAATGAGTATCTTATGTTTTTTACTTTAAACGAGATAAGGTTGTAACTACATGTGGAATACAACTTTGTTTTCACTGTTTCAGTTCTTTATTTATCTTATTTTTCTTTGTTTATCTAATTTCCTATGGGAGCACAATCCATCGCAATAAGTTTTTTCTGCGAAACAACGTAATGATATTTTATTAATATCAATCGGATCCCAAAGTGAATTAAAGGCTGCAAACCAGCTTTATAAGAAATCTAAGTTAATTCATAAATAATCACCCAGAAAATCTTTAAAAAAAGGTATCATTAGGCTATAAGGATCTCAGGGGAAATTTGGTAAATAAATCAATTAATATTTGTCGAAAAGCATTATGAATTCTACTTTCTTTGATGATTAAGTATTTTTCTTTGAATAACGAAGCAAGTAGATGGATTGTTTTGCAGAAGTATTTATTATTATAAATTCACATAAGGTCGTCAGTAGGCTGGTTGGACTGGCACCTTAACATTTCCCTAAAACTAGAACATCCCAAATCCTTAACTATTTGCGATCAGTAATATAATCTAGGTCTACCTGTGCTCTTTCTCTTATGTGAAAATTAATAAACACATGGTAATTTTCAGACAAATTATTACAAAGCATCCCAAAAAGCTCATAAAATGTAGACTTCATTTAACATTTTGTTTTTTAAATAAAAGTAATAGAAAATAAACAATACAGACTACTATTATAAAAATAATCAAGCAAGTTGTACGTTTATATTATTTCTATAGATATGTTTTACTCGTATTTAAGATTTGTACTACTTACCACTATTTATCAAATCGTCTGTAACTGTTACTTTCGTTAGTAGTTCATTAATAACGGATTAGAGAGGGTCCAAGCAATTAAGAAGTGTAACTTGATTCCACTGTCTGTAGTTCAATTAAAAAGTAAACGCATTCGCGCACTGGAATTAAACTTTTCGAAGCGCAAAACTGGCGGTAAGAACAACGGTCACATCCAGATTTTAGCGGCCAACTGCGATGATAGTAGCGCTGTACCACATTTAAAAGCACGTTGGCCTAGCAAATGAAAAATCCGCATCCTTGGGTGATACCGTACGCGCAGCATGCGCTACCAAATCTTTGTAGGGGAAGCGTCTCCGGCGTCGTTCTAGCGTCAAGCTTGTGTCGCACAGAAATGAGCGAAATGTGGTCGGAAATGCGTTAATAATTAATTAATTATTCTCTTGGAATGTGGCTTTCGTCAGTCAGTCCTAAAATTGGTTGGACACGTACCTCCACTCTTTCCTAGCCTGAGCTAATTTTCGTATTTCCCTAAAACTATATAGAACATCCTACATCCTTAATCATTTGTGAACAGTAATCCAATCTAAGTTTATCTCTACTCCTCTTAACTTCTGTTTCTGTTTCTAATAGATCTTTAATTAACCTTTCATACCTGAAAAGTTGTCCTACCATAGCTTGCCTACTTCATAAAACTAGAGTTACTATATTAACATTTTCAGGGCCAAACTGTAGGTAAAGTATCTGCAACAAGACATTATTGTCGGTATAAAGATCATTAAATTTGTTTACATCATTTAAAGATTGTGATAATGCGATAATTAACATTTTAGTGGGAAAATTGTGCAGTAGAGGGAGAACTGACAATTGCAATTCGTAACCTTCCACAATTATTTTCAGCACTAGTGTTTTCTGCTAAAGACTTGTATAAATCTCCTATTTCAACTGGCATATGTAGCTGTTTGTATAAAATTCACTGTTTCAGAATTAAATTTTACTTTTTTGAATGCTTAGTTTTAAAAAAAACTTAAATTTTAATTTCTAACCGAATTGTAAGATTAAAACAAATTACTCAATCTAGTTTTAAACTATAGGTTCATTTTCTTAACTTACGATTCTATGAAATTATGCATGGTTCAGTGTCATATGAATTTTAGAAACTTTGCACTTATGAATCTTAAGCTTATCACCTAGGAACATACTTGACTGGAGAATTTACAGGAGTTCTTGCCAAGAATGCTAATAATGGTAAGGTTCAGATCTTTGCAAATGCAGACTTAAATTAAAATTAAACTTCAACTTTCAGGTGTCTGACAATACTAATATGACATTGATAAGTAATTCTTAGAAATAAATTGCTACAGATATGGGTAGGTTTTGTAATAATGCTCATTATCAAAATTTACTAGATCTGTTTTTATTTTCGAGTGACCCATGGTGTGATTTCTAGGACAAAACAGAACCGAATCAATTTTAACTTTATAGGGAAGTAAAGTTTGTTTCGCAGATGGAATAATCTTTAGAACTGCAGACCGGATTTCAAATTTGGTTTTTTTTTTGTTGGAGAGCTTAAATACAAGTAATGTAAAAAATATTGAAGGCTACATACCACTACGGTAGAACGCACAGGGATAGAATAGTGATAAAAAAATATAAAAGGAATTCAAAACAAAACAACTGAAGTTGTTTAAGCAGATTCGGGAGTTACACTGGTAATGAATCTAGTTTTGTACAAAAAATAGTAAAGAACAAATGTGCGAGGCACATCATCTGAAAACTTTGATTTACTGAAGCTACTAAACATTAGCAATGAAACAAAGTAGCTACTATTGATTAAAAATTATAGAAAAAATAAAAATGTTTCACCAATTTTTAAAACGGTCAAATACTTTCATTGCCTAAAATTGTCTCGAAGGTCATGAGAATTTCCTAGATTTTGTATGCAGTCGAGTAAAAATTTTCTTTTCCTTACGCTGGCTCTAGTTTATCCATATGAGCTTGTACTGACGGACCTAAATTACGTAATAAAAAATGTTGCAGTGTTTGCATAAATCACAAAAGTTTAACGAAAATTTTAAACCTACTGAGCTGCAATATCTGCATGTACTTATGAATATTTCCGACAAAGATAATCGAAATATTCGCCCATGCTCTTGTTTACAATATCAGCAAACATAAACCCATTAACAGGATGGCGACGATAAGTTTTTAGACGCAGCAGCTAAAATTTTATGTTTATGACAGTGTTTGCCAAAGTTACCGTCGGCGCACGAATCCAAAAATAAATGTCTGTTAGTTTATAAAATAATAAACGTTAATAAAAATGAAACATGGACTTTCATGGCAAAACTACGATCGACAGGTAATGAGCGATAAAGGTACGTTTTATATGTGGGGCCGCATTTCGCTTAAAATTATTTTCTTGAAACGAGTAAATCTTTCGGGAATTTAGGCCATAACCACATGTAAATTGTGATAAGTATACGCCAACGAAACATAACACATGCGTTAATGTAATTAAAGAGAAACAAATTTGTAAAATGGTGTAAACAAAATTTTTAGTCCGTGAATTCTCAATACCTTTGAGAAGTACTTTAGACCACGTTGCAGCGCGTCTCCATCAAAGTAAGAAAACTTCCTTGATTGCAAATAAAACTGACTTGAGAGTTGACACTACAGCAAATGATTTGATCCCTTAATAAAATAAAATAAATTAAATGTATAGCAGTATGATAAAGACAGTTAAATGGATCTCTATTTTTCTGTACTTTCATGTTGCAATTAGTTCGATACACAAATAAAGTTTTCTCTTTCTTCAGCGTATATCGGGAATGTTTTACGGTTTAGCAGTCTAGTTAACCTGTTAATACAGTTCACTTTTTCATAAAGCATATACTGTAGGTGCTGTTAACCTTTAAACATTATTTCGTTGGCTTCTACATCCTTCTTTGACAAATGGCATTTCTTTAGAAAGAAGCCAGGTACTGTGTAACTTGCTTATTATTGTTCCATTTTAGTTGTGCTTTTATTCAGTTCACAAAGTTCCTACAGACCTTTCTTAGGAAAACATTTATTGTTTACTTCAAGTTGTGCAGTTTTGTTGATCGTTACAATTCCGTACCTTTATGGAAATTTTCACAAAACAGCAAGTATGAAACTAATCACAAATATGAATAAGTTAAAAAGTACCCAAACGGTTTAATAATTGGAAGCTGATGAAATTATACAAACTTAAACGTTGTAAACTTTGCATGTTGTAACATTACAATAAACTGCAATTGCAGCATGGATTGTTTTTTTACTTTATGTATTTAGAAATATTAAGAAGCGGCTAATTGTTATGGCGTGACTTCCGTGTTGGTCCATCTGTCTTTCTGTTACATCTGCATTTTTATAGGATTTATTAAAGCAACTACAGTTTTCAGTCTTGATTAATTGACAAACATATGTGATAAGGCTGCTAAATATCTACAAATACTAACTCAATCTTCCTGAATGACTGCTTTAACTTAACCCTCTTGAGGAATAGGGAATTCGATAACTGAAATGATCTCAGTCTGGGATCTGGCCGCTCTCTAAGTTCATAAGGTTAACTTTATTTTACTAAAATATGTATACATTAAATTTTTTTGTTCGATTATTCTTAAGTTGAGGTAAATGTTCCTTAAATCTAACGTTAATTGCATTATGACTTTGACCTATATACTGTTTATAGTTTATTTTTTGCATTCCCCGTTGTTCATTGCATAGCAATACTGCCAATAGGATTATACGTACAAATGTTATGTTGTTTAGATATTTGTACATCCATTTGATAACTTTTAAAATGTTAGAGAATAATACTTATTGCTTTTCGATGGTGGGGTAATTTTAGGCTTTATTTTCTGAAATGGTTTTAAACGTTAATATCCAGCAATTCGACTGGCAACTATGGTCTTACTGCTGTACGTTCACAAGTTACTGAGCCTACATACATACATAGTCATATTTGACAAGTGACAGAGTACAGTAATTGCCTGAGATATGTTTCGTTTTTTTAAAGGTAATGAACATGTCACGTTAGCAACGTAGAGAGTTACGGGGCACCTGGACTGAGGGAAATTTATCATTCACTGTAATGCAATAAAATGAAGCTGTTGTTGTTACCTATTACCCAATACACACTACTGTACCGTCTCTTACATATTTAAAATAAGTTAATTATGTTGGTAGCCAAAAGTAAACATTTTTTAAAATACAAACTTATAAATGCGACACTTATCTTTTAAAAAACACTTTTTTATGAAAGATATTAGTTTTAATTTAAAAAGTACAATACATTTCACGTAAAGTAACAAAATTTGTACGAAGTATGGATAAGTAGGTACTTATTGCAAGTTTATTATTTTAACAAAATTGCGAGATTATCTTGTGTCTTTTTTTTGTTTTTAACGCCTAAAGATGTAGATTTTAGGCATCGTTCTTTTTTACAAATTTTCAATTATATTTCATGAAAGGAAAAATTTTAATAAAAAGTTTATAATCTTTATAGAAGAAATAATAATACTTTGACAGGAAGGTACAAGCAAAAAAAAGCACGTGTAAAACTTGTTTCTGGATAACAGTATTCCTTTAGTATACAAAAGCAGGAACTTTCTTGAGAGAATTACCGACACTAATTTTATACAAGTTCGTCCTACTGTCTTCACGAATTATTCTGCTTTCGTGAGTACATTTTTTCATGAAATATGTAAGGCCAATCGTGACGTCGATCCTCAGTGAGGAGGGAAAAGGAAGGCGCACATATAGAGTATACCTACACCTGAAACTTCGTCACATGTATTCCATTTGAATTAATCAGCTAATCGGTTTCCTTTATTTTTGGAGAAATAGAACTGGAACAGCTACCTACCCACTTTTTTTTTTAATCACTTTGCCCTTCACGCAGGACAATGTACATTTCAAAGTATCTTTGTAGCTGCTTGTCAGTGACATTAACATGAAATCACGTTTTCAGTCGCGTGTAGATGCACGCAAACGAGCACGTGCTAAAGCGAAACAGAAGAGGGAAATATTTGGAACTTCGAAAGGTGCGTATACAATGAGTCCTTTAACTGCCAGATTTCATCAACCCACAGTGCTGTGAAAGCTTTAAAATAAATTGAAAGGGAAATAAATTATGAACGCGAATATTTTTCCAAATTAGCTTAATTTTCTTATAAAGCTAATAAGTAACTTACAAAGTGGATTAATAAAAGTTGGAATTAATTTAGTTAATTGTTATTAATAATGAGAAACTAATTATTTCTACAAAAATACGGAGTT